AATCTAATTTATCTCAACCTTCATAGTTTGCCCTTGCAGAAATACTGTTGAAACGATTAAGAAAAATAAATCATTCACAACCATTGATGAAGATTACTTGAAATATTAAGAATTGGTAATCCTTCTCAGAAATCAAAATTGTTTAAAATTTTTAATGATTCAATATGTATTATGAAAAAAAAGTCAAAAGTAAAGTGTCGATGTTATATATGCAATGACTTAGATCTTATATATAGAAAACGTCATTTGGTCCTTTTTAGAGTGGCCAAATATATGATATAACTAACCATGAATTAAGTATTACTAACAATAGAAATGTTTGGTTTTAGTTTAGGGACAAAAATGATACTGAAGTTTTTTCAAAATCACAAATAATGAATTAAAATTAAAGTTTAACGTATATAAGCTAAAAGTATAATTTAATCTTTTTTTTTTAAAGGACGGTAAATAAAATATTTAGACTAATCTTATGCCATGTATTTTTTTTCCTTTTGAGTACCTTATTTGAACCTATAATTATTTGGTAGCTAGAAATTTATAATAAGATATTTATTTATCTCAAGATTTAATGGCCTATGATTTCAATAATTAATAATTTTAAATATATAACATAATTCAACTGGTTAAGACACCTAATGTTCGATCAAAAGATCGTAAATTCGAATTTTCACTCTACATGTTTGTTAAAATATATATATATATATAATTAATTAATTAATTTCAAATATATCTACTTTACAATCTTCCAATTTAATTAGGAGGCTGACTTAAGATGGTTGAACCAATTTTGATATTTAAAATGGGTAAAAGTAACTAATTATTGGATAAGTTAATAATTTTCACTTGATTTTTTTAGAGTAATTTTCACTTGATTTTAATTGACTTGAGATATGGTTTGAGAATTTGAGTCCAACTTGGTTGCTTTGTTAATTACGAATTTATCCAGCTTAATATATATTTTATAAATGTTGGACTAATTTAACCAACTCATAATATTGGAATTATTTTATCTAAAATAAAAACATTACCTTATAACTCTTGATGTATACAGTATTTCAAATCTAAAGTTTGAAGGCGGAGTGAAATAAGAAAAGATTATAAAATATTAAAAGCACTTTCAATAACCATATTCTTTTTAGTTTTCTATTTCTTAAAATTAAGAGTCCGTCTAGTAGCATTTCCGTTTTTTTATTTATGTTTCTTTTTTTTTAATAAAGAAAAATAAAATTGCATACCTCCAACACCCATGGATGAAAAATGAGAAAATAAGATTTTTTTATTTATGTTGGAACAAATTAAAAAGGAAAACAAAAAACTTATTTTTGTTGTTTCCAAAATTTCTATACAATTTTGAAAATGTGTCTGAAAAATGATAAACAAGAAAGATAAATAGTTGTCAAATGCTTAGATTTTTTAATAAAATTGGAAATAAGTAACAGGAAACGTGAATATTACCAAACATGCACTAAGCTTACAAATACTACTTATATTCGTATATTTCTTTAGTTTATCATAAATGTACGTTAAACTAAAAATAAAAGGATTGTCAAACAAGCATAAATATTTTAGTTATATTTTTTGAATTTAAAAATAAATTAAAAGCAAAGGAATAGTTACATTACTTCCTTAAATGGCCTCACTCTCCTGCCGGTTGCTTTTGTAATAAAATAAAACGAATGTAATTTCTTTTAGTACATGTGAAGTATGTGAAGTGGTCGTTCGAACCCACAATCTTAATAGAAGATAGATACATTAATCAATTTAACTAACAATAAATATAGTTTAATCCTATCAATTTAATAATATTATAAATTAATTAACTTCTTATGCTAAGTTGGAATTTGGTTAATTTGATTGGAACCTTTTTTTTAGTCAATGGTATTGCTCTTTCCAATTTTGCATAATTAGGCTTGAAAATAAGATGGTGATGTCAAAATTATCCTAAAAAATGGTATTTAAAATCTCATTTATTTATCGAACAATGATTTTTGCAAGTATTTGACTGAAATAGGCTCTAGTAGTTGAACACGATACTATGTGATTTGTCCAAAACAAAATAGTTCAGAAGAAAAACGTGTTTTATATTTTGTACTCCTTTGGCATACATTTAATTGAAATACCTTTTAAAAAATACTCTTGATTATGCATTTGATTATATTTCTTTCAAAAATATATTTTTAAATAATAAATTTGTTTGGTTACACTACATTTAGAGGATTTCACCAACAAAATATTTAATATATATTTTTTATTAGAGGTGGTTCTCTCAAGTGTTTATTTAAAAACAATTTTTAAATCAATATTTATATTTTTTATATAGATTTAAATACTATTTTAGTCCGTATATTTTTAGCTTTGGTTCATGGTTCATTTTAGTCTATGTACTTTAAAACGTTTACTGTGGTTCTAAAATGAACGTTTTAAAAGTATAGTGATAAGGACCAACACACTGTTTAAACATTTTATGTAAGATTAAAAAAATGTTTTGGTCACCTAAAATCACTTAGAAAGGTATTTAAATCTATCCTATCTATACTATATCTAAATGGGGCTATGGAGGATAATCTTTGCCTCCCTATTTTGCCCTTCAAATTTCTACAAGAGACACGACTGTTCGAGTTAAAGTGTCTGTTGAGATAACAAATCCAAAAAGTTGTGATCATTCGATGAAACAATGAGTTTAATCCGAAAGAGTTATAACTGTTCGAGTGAAAATGTGTGTTGAGAGAAGTTAATCCAATAAAACTTACAACTATTTGATGAAGTGATGCATCATCCACGTATAGGTGTCATAGCAAATAATATATAAAATGAAATATTATGTTTTTTTCGTTTATGACCTAAAACTCATTTCCAAAATATTAATGAAGATTTTTCTTATCTTCATGAGTGAAAACCGAACCATGTCAAAAGAATATTTGAGATTCCAGAAACATATTTAATCGATTAAGAGGCAGAGTAACAAAATCATGTATTCGTATTATCTTCAACTTTTATTTCTTTTAGATTGTTTTAATATTTTCATGTAGATTACTTTTAAGTTATATATTCATGATACCTTCGTATTTTAATATTTAGTTAATGTTATTTTCAAGTTTGATTTATTATTTAGTTAAAGTTCTTTTCACGTTTTAAAATATATTCATGTTATATTTTAGTATTAGTTTTCTTATTTATCTTAATATGACTGTTTTATTGTTATTGTTCTTATTTTATTTTTCTTGGTCATGTGATTCTTTATTCCACATTTTTTCAATGATTTCATGGCATACATAGTATTCAGTTTCTCTCTCAAATTTCAATTCTTTAATTTTGGTTCATTCTTCTTTATTACATAATATACAGAAGATAAAAGAATGAGTAAATAATTTAAGAAAACACACAAAAAGATTATTGTTGTTTTCTTAAAAAAGAAAAATTGAYAACGAATAATATATTTTATTTGAAACAAAATATTAGTACCATTTAAAAGTTCCGTTGARTTGTTATTCTATACGTTAAATTGGTAGAAATATTATATTAAATATATTTTATTTGAAACAAAATATTAGTGTATTAAGAAGTTATGTTGAGTTGTTATTCTATATGTTAAATTGGTAGAAATATTATATTAAAATGTTTATAACCACGTGCATTGCACATGATATTAACTAGTATTAATAAATGTCCCAAGAGTGATTTGTAGAAAAAAATATCTAATTTAAAAAACAAATGTAAAGTGACTCAAACACACCCTTAATTGTAGGGAGTAAAGTTTTTGTAACATTGAACTTCTTTTTTTAATTAAAATGAATCCTAAAACTTGAACCCTTTTTAAAATTAATATATTCTCAACTAAATCATAAATTAAGAACTTGCAAAATTCAACCATAAAGAAATTTGTTCTCAATAGTCATGTGATGATCATATAAGAGTGATTCTTTTTGTCGACCGATGCCTCTATTACATTCGTAATCTTTAAAGGTTGAGAATCAACTATTACAAAACACCATCTCAATTCGATTCCAGATGTGATATGGCTATGGAAAGTACTAATAAGATTTCATCATTTATCGAACATGAGAATAAATGAATAACCATTCACTTTAGAAGAAATTAAAGAATTTATCGAGAGCAAATTATGTTTATGCTTTACAAATATTATGTTATTGTTTGGTTATTTCTAATAATATCAAATATTATTCCTCTTTGGGAATTTTTAAGTTTTAGAGTTTTAGCTCCCTCCTAGCAAAGAGCCAGATAAGCCTTAAGTTCAACTAAAAAATACCCACCTAAACCAGTAACCCCAAAAAAAAGAAAATTAATCTAAAATTGACAATAAAACGTCTGGCAAAACAACAAAAATTAGCTTTCACAAATATGGCCTTCTTTAGTTACAATTACAACGCGAACATTTACAATTATCCAACAAAAAAAAAAACAAAAGAAA